AAAAATGAGCAGAGCAGTTGGTTTGTTTAGTCAACTTGCTAATAGACAATAAGTTACAGGCAAGGTGCGGAACATGCAAAACAGATTGTAGTTGAAGTTTATCAGTAAGATGAACTGTGCCTATTCCAGCGATAGGAGAGGGTGAACCAGTGGCTGTTTTAATGGTTTGGGTTCCTGCCGAGGGAAGATAAGAGACAAACATTCTAGCTTCGGATGTCATATGATCAGATGCACCCGTATCAACAATCCACTTGGAGGTCATAGAAGAAGTCTGAAGAGAAATAGGATTACCTTTTTGAGCCACAGAGGCAGAAGCGACCTGTTTAGTCGGAGTGGGTAAGGTTTTAAGCAGTTCCAACAATTGTCCTAGCTGATCAGGACTAATGCTAGGGATTGATTCAAGAGCAGGAGCATTCTGATCGTGCGCAGCCTGATTTGCCCGAGGCTGGTTCCGCCGAGATTTCCAGTTAGCCGGTTTCCCAAATAGATCCCAGCACCGATCACGGGAATGCCCAGGTTTCTTACAGTGATCGCAGGTAAGTTTCCCTCGATTCTGGGGGGGTCTATGGTCAGATTGTTTACTGACAAATGCAGAGGAATCCTGAGCAGGTACTTTGGGACCGGACAGCATGACTTCACGCCGTGATTCTTCACGGCGAACCTCCGCATAGGCTTCCCTGGTGGAAGGCAGAGTATGGTTGCCCAAAATTCGAGCCCGAACATCGTCGAATTCAGGATTTAAGCCAGCAAGAAACAGCAGCACCCTCTCATTTTCAACGTTTTTCTTGTTGCGGGCAGCATCAATAGCGGAAGACCATTCTTCAACAGTGATCAGGTCCAATTCCTGCCAAAGTGCCACAAGCTCAAACCAGTATTCAGTGATACTACGTGGACCCTGTACGCATCTCCAGGTCTGGCGACGCAGGTCGAACAGCCTAGAATGATCCTTTGTATCTGAGTAGGAGTCACGAACTGCTTCCCAAATATCTTTAGCCGTGGGAAGATACATAAACGTCCGTTTAAGTTGAGGAGACATGGCATTGATCAACCAGGATGAAACCAAGGCATTATCAACCTTCCACTGAGCCATCGCAGAGGAGGTGGAATCCGCCGGCATCAGTGAACCACCATTGAGGAATCCTAGTTTACCGCGGCCTTCAACAGCGAGTAAAATCGCCTGAGCCCAATCACGATAATTTGTGAGAGTCAGACGTTCAGAGACAATTGAGATTGGGGACCCAAACGCAGAGGATCCTTCGGCAGCGACAGACCCATGGGGCTCGCTGACCGTAGACGACGCCGTGGTGGAAGACCCATCAAGAGAAGCCGCCATGGTAGCAAGCGTCTCGACCGGTCGACCACGAAGAACACACCGAGAAGGCTACCGAACGGAAGAGGACGTCCACAGCTCTGATACCATGTGGAATAACATAGTGAACAGTACTATCTTATTCCCACGGTGATAATCGGTAGATAAATAGGGTACAGAGGGAATCCTCACCGTAATCAGTGGGATTTGAAAGATAAAAACAGAAACAGATATTGGAGATATATCCCTTATATGAGCCGAGATATACTCCCCTAATTTTATCTAATAATTACATATATTTACAAGAATAAATAAATACCATATTTACCACACATATAAATAATAAATCAAAACTTATTTTCAACAACCCCTCAAGCCGGTGCATAAAGATCATATGAAACTAGCTTTTCACAAGTGCAGATTCTTTGAGGACCTTGGAAGAGCTTTAGTGAGTACGTCTGCTAGTTGATCATTTGAGCCGGCAAACTTGGTGGCAAGACAATCAGGCTTTGATACCATGATAAATCAAAAGAATAAAGAGAGATTTGGGAAAAGTAGTCAATGTAAGCTGATATACCATGCTATATATTTATAGTCATATGTACAAGACAGGGAATTAATGGCTAATAAATACAAATATTATCTCTACCAACTCAAGAGTCTAGTCAGCCCTAATCATGTACAATAAATAATAAATCAGAGCTTATTCTCAAGAGATAGCATAATGCGTTGCACCTTTGTTGCATGTATCTCCGTTATGAGTAGTTTTATTAGACAGAGTAGAAAATACTTGTTAGAGGATATCATCAAAAGAGAAAAAGATAAAATGAAAACAGAAATAGTAACAAAATTGTAGAAGACTTAGAGCCCTTTTTATTTTAAGGATGGAGACTAACTCAAAACTTGGAAAAAATAAAAAGCAAAACAATGATATCCAAAATGCAGAGCTCCTAAGTAAAGCTGTATACGTGATTCTTTGTCATTACATGTGTAGAGGAACATAAATGACCTAGAAGATGTAGGCATTCTTTTCCAACCTTACAAATCAGGGAATGCCCAAGTCACTCATTGCCACGAAGTTTTCTTGTTACCGAACCTGTTGGACTGTAGGAGGAGGAACTATTTCAAAATACTGAGGCATGCTCAATTCTCACCTAGAATTCTGAAAAGATTGTTCTAAAGATAACTCATTGACTTTAAGCTGGATAGATGAGAAATAAGTGCGCCAATGTTTTTAAACTAGATCGGTGGTCACAGTACATATATCATGAGAATTATTTACATGTGGCTGTTGAACTGACAATATCTCATTTTTGTGTGCCCTCTATGTATTGCTTTCCTAACAAAACTTCCATATGCATTGTTTTATGGAACAGAATGACTGATTCATCCATGAAGAAATTTAATGGAAGGTGGATTTTTGTTTTTTGGCTTTCTCATGGTTTAATTTTGTGCTGACGACTTGATGTAATTTATCTTGGATTCTTGGGCTAAAGATTGAATACCTTGAAGAGATGATTGGGAAAAATAATTTCTGTTGGGTGTTTCATAGTTTTCCTGTTGTTAAATACGAACTTGCTCTGTTCTCAACAATCTATACTGTGAATTAATGGTTTAATGAAAGCTAAAATGACCTGCCCAACACGAGATTAAACAATGAGGATTGATGCTATAGCTGAATATGAATAATTTTGTCTTGGGAAGACTGGTTTTTTGGGTAAATCCCATCTGCAACGACCATAAGTTGACCCTTGTTGAATCTCATCTATCTTTTTCTCACGTTTTGGTTGTTTATTCTGGTCTGTGGAGTGTAGATTGTTAATACTCTTATTATGTGGTTCAGGTGGACAGAGGTGTTACATTGAGTGAGGCCCTCCTTAGGCACGATAAATGGCTTGAGAAGAAAGGAATAAAGAACACTAACTTTGCTGTGGTTACATGGTCTAACTGGGACTGTCGGGTGATGCTAGAATCTGAATGCCGCTTCAAGAAAATACGGAAGCCTCCTTATTTTAATCGGTATAGTCTGCAGTATAAAATTCTCTGACGTCTTTCATATTTTTCTACGTTTCATTTTCAACTCACTTTGGCATTTTTATCGCTTAACCAGATGGATCAACTTGAGGATTCCCTTCCGTGAGGTATTTGGTCCTGCAAGGTGCAACCTAAAGGAGGCTGTTGAGATGGCAGGTTTGGCCTGGCAGGGCCGTGCTCACTGTGGTTTGGATGACGCCAAGAATACTGCTCGCCTGTTGGCACTCCTCATGCGCCGGGGTTTCAAATTTTCCATCACAAATTCTATAATGTGGGAGGCTGCTGATCAATCATATATCTTGAAGCTGTCACCAGAGCAACTCAACTTTTCTCCTCAGTACCCCCAGAAAACAAAGGATACGCAGATGAACATTCCAATGTTCCAGTATCATCCTCACTGTTATTGTGGAGTGAAAAGCACTAAGGGAATGGTTAGAAAACCAGGACCCAAGCAAGGGAGCCATTTCTTTGGCTGTGGAAATTGGACTGCTACTCGAGGTGCTCGATGCCAATACTTCGAATGGGCTTCTGCTGCCTAACTGAATCTGATCCATGATAGTCAAATCCTAAGTTTGCTTATATGTTTTATGTGAAAAAAGACAAAAGACAAAAAAACCAAGAAAAGAAAGAAAGGAAAAAAAAAAAAGGGAAAGTGGATGATGAAAGTAGGAGAACCTAATGGAAGCATGTATGCCTGGTTGCTTGGTGAGGTTTCTGCTTCATGAGTAATAGACAGAACAGTAGTTGGCTCGTAATATTATGCTTAATAGTGTATGCTCAAACATTGTAGTGTTGTGAAGAGGGAGGGGAGAGAGAGAGGCTCAATCTGTAAAGCTGACTTGTTGACTGGAGAACATATCGGGAATGGGTAGTTAGGGTGATGCTTTCGAATGAATGCTCAGGCATGCTAAGTTATCTTGAATAATTTGAGGTAGGACTATTTGTTTCCTTGCTTGCTCTAAAGGCTATATCTATATTCTGCCTGTAGCTCGTTTCCTGCATTCAAGTGTTCATGCTAACCTTTGTTGTTCATTGCTGCACCGTTAAACCATTTACATCTCATTTATCTAGGGAAAATGACAATTATAGACGTTTTCTAATATATTAATAGACTTCAAATTTGAAGTCTGTTATAATCTCTCAGACGTAAAAAGAGTGTTGTGTTTTCTTTTTTTATTGTTATTTAATGTGGGGTAATCCATGAGCAGCGAAAATTCCTTTGGGGTAGAGCAAGGATCCATTTATTGGAGGGAGTACTTCTTTATTATTGTGAAATGATTAAAAAGATCCCCCATGTAGAATTGGAGGAAATATTTAAGAACTAGTGACACCTGCGTCTGAGATTCAGAAAACTGATATTTGGTCGTATAGTTCTTGGTTTTGACTTTGGACGAGCCAAGTTAAAAATAATAAATCCTCGCAAAATTTAAATCGAAGGCGTATGGTGATGCATCTCCTGGAAAAGCAAACCGTTTTAATTAGAATTAGCAAATATCATAATTTCGCTATAAAGACGGGCATGATCGTTTCTGGCGATTCTGGTTGTAGTGTGTACGATGTAAATGGTTATCACAAGATCCAGGTGAGAGGAGGATTAACTTCCAAAATTTTGAACCGAAAAAAGGCGGACAAATAAAGAAAAACCAAATTGAACATGAGGAAGAAACTTTTATTTGATAAATTTAACAAAAGGCCTACATTTTCCACTCCAATACCTAACATACAAAGCACAGGGTGGGAAGTGGCGGCATTCTACAATCTCACCGCTCATTCTATACCCACCTGTGTCATGAACTCACTGCTATGAACAACATTGTATGAAGAATCAGGACTAAAAAGAATATACACATGGAATAACTATTCTACGTTAACATTCAACTGTCCGGCTGCTCAGACTTCACTGGTGCTCCAGATGAGGACGCACAACTTCCATTCTGCAGATAGAGACTGTTTGCAACCATGGAGTCACTGACCAAGCCAACATCAACATCATCAAAGTTGAGAGGTCCTCTAACCTTCCGGGTGCTGAACATAGAGAATGAGAGCACATAGTAACATCAGCTTTGGTATCTTGAGAAAAACAAATCAAGAACGAGCATATACAAAATATGCAAGTACAGCGAATATAAATCCTACAAAACAGTAAATCTGACATGTTCATTCATGATTTAGAAACTTATTTTTGCTAAACATAGAATGCAAGCAGATGATATGTGAGCAGGATGTTTTAGTAGATTTGTTTAAAAAGTCTAGTAGTTGAATCAAGTTTATATATGTGGCCATAAGTATGCTAGAGATAAGCTTTATTGAAATTTTGGGCATAACATGCACGCGCCCCCACACACATTTTTATGACCCATGACCAACTGCATTATTTTCTGCTTGAGTGGGTCTCCCTTGGAATATTTGTTAGAAGATATTTCAACCTTGAAAATTTTAAGATTAGAAAAAGCATACCCATTCAAACGGTTATTGATGGCGGTCAGGTCTTTTGAAGGGCTCTGATATGCATGAGTGCTCTCCCCAACGCAGGCATAGTAGCTTTTTGAGCTATGTGATATTAGGGCATCCATCTGAGAAGATAAAAAAAGGACAAAGCTCATATTCAGTGAAAATAGAATGTGTTTCAGTCCAAGTGTGAATTCATGCATTGAGATCATGTTATGGGGTAACATTTGCTGTCTATTATTATAAAAGAGGAGGAAAAAAGACAAGTGCAATAGCTTAGACCAAGGGTGAAACAGCCCTTAGAAGTCAAACAAAGCAAGTCCTGTTGTCATTTGATTGCAGCGAACTAACATGAGTAAATAGAGACAAAAATTTTACAGAAACAAAAAGGGAAACAACTACCTTGGCTGATCGCAATGGTGAGACATACACATTGTGTGATGCAGATACTTTCTTCGGGGACATATCAGGAAGGCTAGGAAAAGGTGAAATTTTAGGAGATCCAGGACACTGAGCTAAATGGTCTGAAGAAGAGGTATACTAGTCAGTGGTTTGCCTAAAACACAGCGGAAAAAGCCAGGCATAAAACTCAAAAGAACTTGTTAAGCCAAAATTGTACCATCACTGCTGTTGTTGGCTTCAGGTATCCGGTTGGCTTTTGTAGTTGTTCCCCCAGGACCAAGCTCAACCAGCAGAGCTTTTACAGAGGGGATGAATATTTCATTGTAAAATGTAATGATATCAACATGCTCCTGTCCGGTTCTCTGTTCCAAAATCATTATAAGGTCAGACTTTTCATAAAGCAAGGGGGGAGTCCAATCAGATTACATACCCCATTGCGGCGCGTTGATGACCAGTCAATAAATACACCGCGAAAAACTTGTGGTTTGCATTGTGGTTGCTTCCTATAATTGTAAATGATCTCCCTAAAAGTTAAGTTCAGTTGAGAAATCTGCAAAAGGAATTGAATAAGGACAAAGTAATAAATAACTGAAGAACAGGATACAAAACCCAACATTTTTTCGAAATCACCTTTGCAATTCCATAGAAACAACATAGAATGATTTGATCAATATGGCGGTTGAAGAAAAGTGACGTCCTTTGATTAAGTATTTGTTGGAAAAGACGGTACACATTCTCTCTTATCTGTTGAGACAATTGGAGCCTTTCAACCATGCCACTTATTCTGACTGCTGCCAACTTAACGATCTGGGAGACACAAGTTCACACAAGATGTCAGCTTAATAAAGAAATACAAGGACAAAATGAAGCTGAAAAATAGATAATACAAATCTTGACCAAACACAAGAAATTCAGACAACAGCTTCACCATATTATTATGAGGCAATACCTTTCCAAAAAAGATATTGATCCCTGTTTCTGCACAAGTCTCCCCCCCACCCCCTGGATTTGGTCTTGTTGGACTGCAAAGAAGAAGAAAAAGGTTATTCAATGCAGAGTACCAAATAAATATGATTGGCGCTCTAAGCTCAGAAATTCTATACCTTGCAAAAGCTGACTGCAAAGGAGGAGGTAGCTTTGACTTAAGGTTACTGAAGGGAAGAAGTCGATCCTTCACTGGTGAGGTAAAGGAATTTCGTTCTGCTAGCACACTCCGATATTCTGTGCAGAGTCGTTTAGGAGACCTAATATCCCCATTTTGACCTGAAATGCATTGACAGAAATGTCAGCTAAGCTGAAAAACATGTCTACACCATGTAAGTTTTCCTTTGGGAGGAGTAAGGCGGCTTTAAAAATTTTGGTTCATTATGAACAACAAAATTTACAGACTACGATATGATAGACAATGACTTATACTGGAAGTAAGCAAACACTGCTAAAAAGCTCGAACAGAAAGAATTATTACTTGGTAAAGTCTCAGGCTTCTGCAAGGAAGGCCCAGGAGGTAGCCCCCCACAAGAAATTAATATGCGTTGCAATTGCATCTAATGATGGCATTGGTTCAGCTAACAATCCGAGACGAGTTATTTCAGAAGAGAGGGAAGGTCTGGCAACTGTCAAAGAATTATACATCGAGGAACCCTTTTCCCATACCATACTCTCTAAAAGCCGTTCTTCCAATGAATTCAGATGTCGCCTCAATTCTCTTGGGAGAGAATCTTCATGTCTTATGAAGCTTTCTATCACCTTGCTAAGGTCAAAAGCTGTAATTCCAGTCCTTTCTAGCACTGCAGGAAACAACATTGTTACGGTCTTATGTGTTGCCAGCACTAATTCTGCAGAACATGCAAGCATGCATCTATGGAACCTCTCATTAGTTAATAATGACGTTAAATTGGTTGCATGCAGTATTTGGGACTCTGCTCTGCACATTGCCTCCAGGACCCTATAATATAACTTCAGGGCTTCCAGTCTCCGTTGTTCTGCCCAAACATTGTCCATGAGGTTTGCACTTTGAAGGCTTCCAGTTAAACATCGCTCTCCCAAAGGACTACTAGGAAATATAGCCTGCAATATAATCTGTGCCCTGCGCACTACGTCACTTGAGACATCCCTATCACATGATGCCAGAAATTTCTCCAGCTCAGGAGAAGGCTTTGATGGAAGTGGACATATGACAGTACGAAGCCACTTAGCAGTAGTCATAGCAGTGGTTACAGGAGTGGCAGCCATCTTTGAAGTTGTGCTAATTGGAATGCCATTTGCATGATGAGATGCAGGAGAGCATTGGGGAGAGAGTGGGCTTGTAATCGTCTTTGTAGGTGACGCCAATGAATCAAATTTCCTCTATAGAGAAGGATAAAAGATGTTTATTAGTATTCTCTTACACAACATGGTAGACTTGAGAAGAAACTTCAAATTCAATCATACCTTGACACCACTTGCAGACATTGAACCTCCAGACAAGCTTCCTGAAGCTAATAAGCTGTCCTCCTCATTGATAAATAACCTCTCATCCAGCTCACCCTTGTTACGAATGGCATCATCATAATCCTTTTCTAAGATATTTAAACAAGATGGTAGAGATGATTCTTCCATAAGATCATTAAAGTAGAACAAACCATCTGCAAATGAAAGGATCATCAATAAAGGATAACAACATTGATAGGTATGAATAACAGACACAGCAGTTTAAAGAGAACCTTTGTCAATATTCTCAAGTGTTGCGGTTTCACATTCAGATGCTAGACAAGGCTTCTTCTTCAATATATCTGCAATTAAATTATTGGCTTTCTCCATAGTTTTTCTCACATCATCTTCTGAAGTGTCATACATGTTGCAAAGTGATGCTATGATGTCCACACCTTTGCTACTCTTCTTAACTAAAATTCACATTACATTGAATTAGGGCAGATACAAGTACCAAAATTTAAATTCAAGTCCGAAATAACCCAAAAAGGAATATCCATTTGTGTCTGCACAAGCATTAGCTTGCATTGATGTGAAGAAGCAAGATTACTTGAGAACAGATTATTCAAAACAAAAGTGGTATAGAAGAAAGAGCATTACCAAAGCGTGACGCATCATGAATGTCAAAATTTCTGAAGCGAGCAGGAATATGAATAATCAAGATAGCCTGCCAAAGATAAACCAAGCAAATAAGAAACTACATCTTTCCTTTTGACATGATGATTACTAGGCAAACATTAAAAACTATATCATATGAATGTTATCCAAGTAATTGAATTTGTATTATAGACTTGGCCAAAAAATTAGAATTCGTATTATATGGCTATTATGATGAATATTCTGAAGTGTAAAAAAGAATTACAGGAAAACGATTTGCAATATGTTCAGGGAGACCCAAATTATAGAAAAAGAATAGTGCACGAATGTGACTAACCAATATAGAAACTAAACCATTGGTGCAAGTCACCAAGTCTTTAAATCGGCTGAAAGCATGGACTCGAAGAGCCAAAAAAACCAACCATCCAAATCGATGATATTGAGATGCATAATCACCAGCCCTTGAAGCAGCTGAATTTTTTTCAGTAGCATCATTTACCAAGAAGAACTCCCCGAATGCACGTTTGTAATACCTAGCGACATCAAATTTAAAAGATGTAATGTCAAATTGCATGCTGTACGGGATGCTCAGAGAATAATGTTATTGCTCACAATTATACAGCAAAGAAACATCTTAAAGTTATAAGATGACCAAATAAATGAAACCATTGCGCATGCGCTTTCCTTGAACGCTGAACAGTAGTATAAATTATAAGTACACAGAGAAACATTTAATTTGCCAAATTAAATGTTTAATTTCCAATAAACCAACTAAAACACACAGCCTTTTCTTCAGAAGTAATTACATTTGACACACAAGTGCAAGACAATAAGCCTTCTTTCTCTCCCTCTTTCTTCCCACCACTCCTCTGTCAACTTCTCTCCCCTCCTCTCCCTTCCCCTAGAAAAGCTTTCCCACTACCAAACATGGCCTTGAAATTAAAAAAATCAAGAAGACTTCTTCCGGAATTCTAGATTATACAAGCAGATCCAATAACTTAGTAATTAAAAATTCTCAGGATTGTAGAAGTTATAAAAAAAATAACAGGGACCTCACTTCAATAGATAGGACGAAGTAAAACAGTGAACAAGAGAAATTATTATTACATCTCAAGTTAACTTGGCAGCACGCATTTAAGACAACAGCTGAAAGAGAAACCACTCACTTGCTAAGAATGCTTAAGTGAAGAAAGTTTGCATGCAACTCCTTTGCCTTGTAGAGAAATATGAAAGGAAAAGTCCAAAGGAGAAATGTTACTAAGTAATAAATAAAAAGGGACACGTGAACAAAATTGAACAAAAAAAGCAAAATAGAAAGCATGAATATCTGCTTAGTCAATACCTCAAGCCTGTTTTCCCAATCTGTGCCATATAAGTTACTTAAAATCGGACCACCCTTAACAAGAAACTGAGGAAGTTCTTTGAAAAAGTCCACAATGCTGTAGAATACAAGATACATGACAACATAGCATAAAAGAACCAATTACAAACACATGAACTAGGGAGGACCAGTAGTATACTTTAACTTTGCCTTTCTCAATATCTGGCACAAGGTAAGTCCATTGCTATCAGTCACTTCCTTCTCACTGTCCGTATGCTTATCAGCCAATCTCTTAACAGAGTACAAGACAAAGGAAAACCAATACCGTTCTGCTTCTTCATACTGAAACAGAGATATGAAATATAAAAAAATGCACAGAAAGACTTCATGACAAGTTCGATTTTATTAAAGAAGAATTATTTTGTACCGTTCCATTCCCGAGAGATGATACATTGGTCTGTAGAAGGTGTTTGGTTTCGGTGAACAGCTTCGTTGCCTGTCTGCAACTTTCATCATCCAATGACAATCCATTCTGCCGTCAAAAACCACACCATCAATGTGTCTTCTCAAAAAGGGGCGAAAGCCACATAAATGTGCAAGGAAATGGCTACAAAATCTCAATTAAATTGGGCCCCACATGACTCCTGTATGTGTTTGATGACCCCTGTGTGTGGGCGTGTGTGCGTGCGTGATGTGGCGTGTAATGTGGCACGAGTGATATGTGTGGGTAGCATATGTTATTTATAGCTAATTCTAACATTAATCACAAAAGAATTTCAAAAGCCATTGTATGTGTAACAGTCTCCTTTTCCCGTTTCAGCATTGCCTGGAGGGCTCAGTTAACATCTTCATCCATTGCACCACTCCCCGGTTAAAAAAAAAAAAAAAAGAAAAACTCTACTACAGCTACTGTTTTCTCCTCCCCTTCCTCTTGCTGCGCTCTTTTTTTCCCTCGGTTATGACAAAATATAGGAAATAATTAAAAATACAAAAGGACACTCGTATTCTTGATAACATAGTGGAAAACAAAAATTACAAGCCAGAAAAACCAAGAAACTGGTTACAAAATATTTCAAAAGGAAAAAATAAACAAACACAGCTATGACGCAGATACGAGCTGCCTTCAGAGTAAGATGACAGGAACCTTGCAGAATTCAGTGAATCGAGAGTCAGCAGGGTCACCATGTTCGCCCTGTGAGCTGTTGGCTGAGGCGGCTAATGGCTTAACATCTTCCATCTTCTCCTCAGCAGGTGGACTCATGGAAACCCTAGTTAAGCCACTGTCGACGCAGATCACACCTGTACGGCACAGAATACAAGCCCCGAAATCAAAACCTTTCCAAGTCCCAGAAATTGGATTTTCTTCACCAATTATAAGAAGAAAAAAATTCTCAGTACCGTTATACCCGCAAGTGCAAACCCAAATTCAAGCGACATTGACCCAGAAACCCAAAATGCAAAATATTGTGAACATAGTTCAAATAAATAGAAGGCCAGTAAATTCACCGCCCAGTGTACACACTCGAGGCAAAGTTTTCATTTTTTTTTTTTTCAAAAGTGAATCAAGCCGCAGGTTTACAACTTTACAAATATGACAAATTGTCTGAATCAACCCCATTTCAAAAATATAATTTGCCGGAACAAGATTTCCCAAAGACTGGAAAGAAGAAAGAAAACTTAAACATAAAAAAAGAAGACTTGTAGCAGTTTACCAACAACAATTACACTCCGATCCCTTAACTCTCACCTCCAAGCAGATCCAGTACAGAAACCAAGAAAACAACGACGTAATCTTGGATCGAATCGGCCAAACAAGGGTTTTTGAAGCAGCTCTGAGCCCTATCTTTGCTTCACTTTTTCCTCTCACCTTCTGTTTCTCTCTCTAAATTTGGCCCTCTTTGTGAAACCCTCCGTGTTGTCGCGCGGGAAAAATAACATGGATCATGATGGTATGAGTACCATGCCCGGCATACATGGATGCATCAAGAACCAATGGTGATCCGACACGTCATGCAAGCAGGTGTTTTTACCGCCAAAATTCCCGCCGTTACGAGATTCCCTTGAATGGGAGGTCGCCGTTACGGCGTTATGACGGAGATCCTAAAATCCATGGCTGCGGCTCTTATCTCGGTAACGGCAAAGTGGGGCCCACGTGACTCCTGTGAGATCGGCTGGGCCCCACATCTGGCCTTTCCTATTTGAGCAATTCATTCTCATGTTGGCGGTAAAATTACTGTACGGGCAGTCTCATCTGTAAATCAGTTCACAGGGATAATAATTAATACTACCTCCGGTTCTAATTATAATTATAAAAATCAGTTGGTTAATTCGAGGAGATTAAAAAAATAAATTAAGTTAGTTATTTGTTCTAAATAGGTGTTGTCTTTTCTAAAATATCCTTACTAATTATATATATCTTATATTTAGAATCAAAATAAAAATTAAATAGGATCTTATATTAAGGACTGGAGGTAGTAATTAATTAATCGGATCACTAAAAAGTCCAAATACATTTAAGAGGCTGTTAGTTTCTAGTTTAATTATTTTTTCAATTTACTTAGTATTAACAGAAGCAAAGATCATTTTTATTTGAGTCTTACATAGGAGAAAAAAAGTTCTATTCCATTTAAAGGAATTATTACTTAATTACATTAATAATAGAAAAATTCTTCCAAAAAGTTCTATTCCAATAAGTTTCCAATTGGAAAGAATATTTTGGATTGAAATTTGACATGCACATTAATTAGTTGTTAACACACAAATTTCAAGAAAACACTTTCAATACACTTGATATAGTTTAAAGTAAATTACTTATTTTTATAGAAAGGTTTATTCAGTTTCCAAAAGTTGTTTCTCCCACTTCTTGTGAGATGAAAATAAAAATAGATTTTATGCTAGCTAGTTGAAGTCTGTTTACGTTAAAAGCCAAAAAAAAAATTATATGGAAAACTTTCATTTTCCCCCTACTTTATGTGGAAAATGTGGGAGATGGGTATCAAAAATGAATTTTATATCATATATTAAAACTTTAATTAAGGGGAAAACTTCAATGGATAGATTGCCTTGTTTAAAGAGTCAAGATTTTGTCATAAGTTTGAAGTTTGAAGATTAAAATCGTCTAAATAAAGATAGAATTCAGCAATTAGGAGAGACCCGGAGAGAGAATAGTGAGTCATGATCAATCTAAGGGGCACGTCTTCTCTTTTCTGCCTTCACTCTTCATTGCCTGCCGCTACTCCCGCTCGCTTTCTCTGGTCTCTTTTTTTTCCCAAGTACTCCCCGGGTCCTAATCCTATTCATAAGGTAGACGAAAAACATATTTTTTTATCCTATTTATAAGATATTGAGAGAATTTTTTTGTATGGATATAAAATTTTGCCCTCTATTTATTGTTGTGTTGATTTTGTTTATATAAAGTATAATATATATTGAATAAGGATAAAGTTGAAAACTTATTGAATTTTCAATGAGAATTAATGAAGTTTAAGGTTTTCTTTGATATGTGTGAAACGTGTTGGAAGTGACTTATAAATAGAACCAAAAGAGTATATGTATTTTTTTTTATTAGGGGTAATTATGTTCGAGAAATTCTTGGGCATTGAATTTGGACATCTCTTTTAATAAAGATTCAAAACTTGGTTCATTACGTTATAAGGGACTAGCTTCTTCTACTAAATTTAATTCTATTGGTTTTTCTTTGTTTTTTACTCTGGTATAAAATTGGATTCAACAATAATCTCCCTGAAATCCTTTTTTGCGAAGTAAGTGGAAACCTGATAACAAACCCCATAACTCTGCTGCCATGGCTGTACAAGTTCCCAAATTATTCACAAAGCCCCCTAGCCACTCAGCCCTTCTCATCTCTTAATAGCCTACCACATCCTGCCATTCACGTTACCTATGATTGACACATTTTTAGCATAGGAATCAATAGTTATAATTGAAGAAAACTGATAAGAATTAGAAAATTATTTTTAAAAAAAATAATAAAATCAATTATGCTGTTCTTTTGCTTTATTTTATTTTATTTTCCTAAAGTATAGATAGAACTTTGAAATAGAAAGAGGGAAGGGCAGCGGAAAGAAAAGACAAAGGTGAGAAGCCACACTCCAATCAATCTAAATACATGTTTTGGTTTTCTGTTACAAACTATCAAAATGATGGTTTTCATAGTTTCCAACGTGAAGCCACACTTATAAGTAAAAATTTAACCAATCTTATTCTTTTTAATAGTATAATATAATTTTAGGAAAAACATGTCACTTTTCTTATAATTAATTAACTTACCTAACTTCTTTAATCTAATCAAATTAGTTAAATGGGTCTTATATTAAGGACTGAAGGAGTAGTATAATATAATTATGCACTAAAAAGTGAATATAGAGAGTGGTTAGACCCTCCATTTTTAATGTCTCTTACTAATAAATTCAAGCTTTGGTCAATATCTCAATATATATTACTAGATCTTTTGCACCAATGAGATTGCGCTCTAAAGAGAGGGGATAGAGAGGGAGTAGGAGACCAATGATTAAGTGTAGCATCATGTGAGTGGAAACTTTAAGGTTTAGTCAGCCTAGGCAACATGTTAGCGTACATTTAACAATTAGATCTTCTGCAACAACGGGATTGTGTAGAAAAGAGGGGAAAAGAGAAAGTAGTAGGGCACTTGGTTAACCTAAGCAGCATGTCAGCAGAAATTGGGGAATCCAATCTTTTGCAATAACAGGACCATGTGGTTAGGAGAGGCATACAGAAATTCGTGGGGCTTACCAGCTCTGTGTCATGATCATTATTTAACTTGAGTAGCATATTAGCATACATAAAAAGGAATCATACCCTAAAGAATTGGGATATCAAGACCAAAAATAAATTGTCTATTACTATCTCCGATCTTTAATATAAGACCTGGTTGATTAACTTGACGTGATTAAAGAAACCAGTTAAGTTAGTTATTTGTTATAAATAGATATTGCCTTTCCTAGAATATTCTTGCTAATAATATATATTAGCTAGAATTATCATTTGATGAAACCTTTAACATATATAACTACTGTAAAGATTACTTTGAAATAAATAAATAAATATGAAAGACAAAATGAATCGAGATCTTATATTTAGAACTAAATTAAAAATTAAACAAGCTTTTATAATAAGAATCGGAGGTAGTACAATTACGGAATTCAACTTCATATCTCCTATTTATAAACTCAACGCTTGGCCAATTTAAGTACCATGTCGTCATATATTTAAGGAATTAGATATTTTACAACGACGGGGCTATGTAAGAAAGAAAGAGGTAGAGAGAGTAGTAATATATTCGGTTAATCTAATATGTATTTGGTTTTAAGTTGAAAACCACTAAAATTGCATCCTTTGCAATAGTATGATTATGCAGCAAAGAGGGGTAAAAAGAATGGTGTCTCTTTCTCTTGTTGATTGGTCAATTTGTGTCGTATGTTAACAGTGCATTTAAGGATTTAGATATTTTTGTTGGGACAAACTTATTTTCTGAAACTTTTTGATAAAAATTAAGAAATCAAGATTGAAAACAAATTTTCTATCACATAAGCCTATTCCAGAGAAGGAAAAAATCAAATGACATTATTTCGTTTGAAAAATTAGATTGGATTAACCTAAGTATGACTTAAAAAAAAATTACGCATAAATCTCAAATAAGAGATTTTTTTTTTCTTGCTAGATCAAATAGGAGATTTATTTATACATAAGTACCATGTATTTGTGAAAATAAACTAAGTTCAAAAGTTTTTAAATGTAATTTTTCTACTGACAAAAGGATTAAATTGTCTCTTGACAAGTCTTTCGTCAACCGCTAGTGTTGATAAGATGCCCAATGCGAAGTCAATATTACACTATTTTTTTTAAAAAAAATTTCTTAAAATTTTGATGCTTTTATATTTATAAATCAACTTCTTATATTTATAATTGAATTTTCACAATTTTTGCATTACTTATTCAAATTTTAAAAAATTAATTTACAAATCAACTCTTTAGATTTACAAGTTCTATTCTACACTTTCAAAATTTATAACTTAACAAGAAAAAAAGTACTTAAGTTTAACTGTAAATGTAAGAGGTTGACTCGTGTAGTTTAGATATTGACTTAGAGATAAGGTGCAAAAATACTCTGAAAATATGCATCAAGAAGTACTCAGGGGGTGTTTGAGTAAGAACAAAACTATAATTTCATAAATGCTTTTACAATATACGAAATAAATATGTAAAAGAATTTGTTTTGATTTGTGAAAAAGTGTTTCTGAAAAGTGATCATGGAGTGTTCCAAACACCCCCTTAATATTTGAAAGTTTTTTTGGTTTTTACCTCCTGGAAATATAATTTGCAGCAAATTTGTCCCAAATTTACCGTCACCGACGGTGACTAGTTATGCTGATGTGACACTTTAAGTGGCATCTAATATTCCAACGCAGCTGCCTAGTCATCTCCCCTCCTTTTCCCCTCTCTCTCCTCCATTGTCTCAGCCTTCATCTTCTCAGTACACACCACCTGCTCTGCCATTAAGCATTGCTCGCTTTGCATTACTCTTTCTCTTCTGTGACCATGTGCTCTTTCTTGCTCTGTACTTTTGCTCCTTTCTTTATGGTCTTTTTTCCCCCCTGAATTGTTATTCCTCTGCGTCTTCCTGACTAGTAGCGAAGGCCAAAAGATAGTTGAAGGAGGTTTCTTAAGAATCGAACTTTAACTTAGGTATTATAGTTAAATGCATCTGGCATCTAAAACAGGAAGAGGCTTTAAGCAATCTTTTGGTTCTTCAAGTTATGGCTTGTTCCTTCCTTTCTTCCCGCCTTGAAGTTCATAATGGCTAGAGAGTCACCTGGCTTTTTCAGAAACCTGTAAATGCTTCGCCTTGCCGAGTGAAATGTCATCGTTTAAATATTTTTGCCGTCTGTGAAATGTTCCCCCCCCCCGGGGGGGAGTTTAGGAGCATTTTATTTAATCTGATGCGCTTCTGCAGACTCTCTCTCTCTCTCTCTCTCTCTCTGTTTTTCCTTTCAACAATTTGAGGCGCTTTGAATTTGCTTCTTTAGCAAGTGGTGTGTACTGAGAAAAGAATGGCGACGTGGATCTTAGTAAAAAAAAAAAAAAATCAGTGGTCAAGGAATTTCCCATTAATTTGCATTCGGTGCGTGCATGCAGCTTTAAGACCTGGTCACTATCGTGCGCTCCTTTGGATTTTTGTAGTTGAACTGGTCGGCTCCGAGAGGATTGCGTCAGTGCCTTACGCTTTTGGTCTTTGAGGATTTCGCTGATGGTACGGTGAGGATCAGAGCGTATAGCGGCGGCGAGTAAGAGCGGGAAGATGAAGGATGAGACAGGGTGGAGAAGAGAGGGAAAAGGAAGCGAGATGACTAGGCAGCTGAGTTAGTACATTGGATGCCATCTAGGAGTGGTGGTCAACGTCAGTGGCTGTTAAACTTGGGACAGATTTGTTTCGGAACTACACTTTCGAGTATTTAGAATTAAAAAAAAAAACTTTCCCGTATTAGATTTCAGGATATTTTAATACCTTATCCTTATTGACTCATAAATTTATACATAAAATTTGAATAATTAAGGTGGGGCGTATTTAGATTAACAGTAGCAAAACTAACTTTTATTCTACCTGATTTTTACAAACATGAGTTAGAGTCAGTTAGTATAATATGATTTATACTCCTCCGATCCTTAATATAAGACCCATTTAACAAATGTAATTAGATTAAGGAAGTTAGGTAAGTTGGTTAATTATAAAAAAAGTGACACATTTTTCCTAAAATACCATAATTATCTTTCTTAATACCCCATCTCCCTCTTCTACTTGATTATGGTTGAGGGAGTATCTATAAGGGTAATTTAGAGAAATTGATAAATATGAGAAATAGGTCTTATATTTAGGATCAAAACTAACTCAAGAAGTGGGTCCTATATTAAAGACCGGAGGAGTATTGGATTGATGTTTATAAAAAGTCAATTTAAAAGTTAAATCTTGTTTGAATGGACAATGAAAAAGTAAGTTTAAATATAAAATAACTGAAAGGGTATGAGTTTTTATATAAGACCAAGTTAACTAATTTCAAAAGATTAAGGATATATATAAGTATTTTAGAAAAATAAATAATATATAAATATAATTTATTTATTTAGCTTTATTAATATGTTCAAATTAATCTATCGGGATCTTATATTAAGATACAAATATAATATATCATACTCGTACTTTATGTGCACAAAATTTGCAGAGTACCAATATTCCATGTGTATAAAAATTTATCAAGTTCTTCTTACAAATTGACTATTTAATAGAGATACTTTTCCTAATTTTTTTTGAATTTTATTATTTAAATTTTTCCCCCTTTAAATACTTTTATACATGTCAAATTAGTGGATTTGTTAGAATAATTTTGTCTATTTTCATTACTATTTTTTTTTCTCCCTCAACATTCTCCCCACCAAAAGCATCACGGATTAACTTCTACTTCCAATGAGCTTTTTGCCTAAAAGTTGGTTTGAGAAAAAACTAATCCAAACATTTGTCCAAGCTCATACTAGCCATTAATGCACGTCTCCCAAATTCAATCCACACTTGTTCTCCTCAACATCAATCTAAACACGCTGCTAAAAGTTAGGCTGATTCACTCACAAATTTATGAGATTTGAGTTGTAAATCTAATAAGTTAACTTGTAAATACAAAAATATTAATATTTTAACATGTGAATTTTCAAAGTTTGACTTTTTAATTTTAGGTATAACTCATAAAATCATGGAGGCTGATTTGTAGTTGAGTACGTAAATTTTCAATAACTAATGTAAAATTATACAAATTTATTTGCAAAATAAACGAGATTGACGTGTAATATGTAAATTTTTTTTACATTGAATAACAAGGCAATCTCTTAGATTTACAAATTCTCACCTAAATTTATGTAAATTCTAAGAGGTTGAACTCAGGCTTTGTTTATTTACAAGTCAACCACATTTGCTTCCATGTCAAACTTTTAATATTTATAAGTGAATTTTCGTAGGAAAATGCAACATTTTAATTTACAAATCCTCCTCTAAAATTTAAAAGGAAAACTTCGAAATTTACAAATTAACAAGGGCAAAAAATTACCTACGTCCACTTATAAATTTAGGATGCCTGAGTGCCGGACACGTAAATATTTTAAATTTAACTTATAAATATGTGACATTAACTTGTAAATATGAATCTAGCAAAAAAAGAAAAACCTGTAAATATGAATGTATTATTATCTAATATCAATGTTTTCAAAATAATCATTTGAGTTAACACAATTTTTGGTCTATTAAGTTTGCCCTTATTTTCGTTTTAGTCCATCGAATGTCAAATTATAAATTTTGGTTCTTCAGGTTTTTTTTATTTAAAACATTGGTTTCTATAATTTAATAAAAACCTGGATAATTTCGTTCTTGAACCAAAATCTATAGTTTAAAACTTGTGGGATTAAAATCAAGATGAACACAAATTTAAAAGATCAAAGATGATATTAGCCCTATTTTTTTGTTTTTGGGATAACTAATCTTTTTTTTGGGGATAAACTTTAACTTTTTTTTTTGGGCCTGAGGATAAACTTTAACGGACCAACATGGATCAACATGATGGTCACTGTCAGTCCACGGTTGCTGGTTGACATTAGTCAAAGTGGTGAATAATAGGAATATTTCACATTGTACCAAAAGAAATAAGAACATTTTTACAAATTCAAAAGATCTATTAATAATTAATTTAATTATTAGAAACATGTAATTTTTGATACATGTAAAAGGCTTCTTAAAGGACGTAACTTCTTTTGTTTCTTGATTTAGAGGTTTTCATATATATATATATATATATATATATATATATAAATATATATATATCAGACTTTACACACCCACAGACACATGGCTGCCCTTCTAATTTAAACGTGCACACGTGTGACCTCTTACTCGGAACGTCAATGTCAGTAACAACTAACAACTCAAGTCTGATACGAAAGTGAAAAGTTATTGTAAGAACAAGAAGAACGGAAACCAATTTGATTCCCAATATTTGATGCATTCACAACTTGCCCATGAAAATGGGGATTAATTCTTGCATTCTCACAAGAGATCAATTGAATTGATATGGTTTGCGATAATCCCTGACAGATGTAAAATTGTCAATGTCTATTCCATCAAGAGCTTGCTAGAAAACTCAGGTTTCAATTACACTCGTATTCTTAAAAAGTACATATTTTCCATCTCATTCAGCAGTACAAATGTCCTCAGTCATAATCACAAGAAATTCAAAACTTTCTTCCCGTCCGTGAGCTTCAATGGTTGTCATTCTTATCACCACAAAATAGTGTCCTGGCATTGACCCTCAGTTTCATCATGGTTCCTTAGCATGACGATCTGGAAAATTTCAGCCCACTGCTTCTAAATCAACATCTGCATCTGTCTCTCCATCTATCATGCCAGCCTCTACCTCACCCTCAGCATCTGCTTCCAATTGCCCTGCTTCCGGACCAACATCAGTGTCAGAGCTCTGCTTCTGGAGTTCATCTGGCGTCGGGGTTCCACCTTGAGCAGCTGGGACAGCAACGGCATCATATTCCATAGGAGTTGTTGATGCGTCAGTCCTCACAGCTTCACCATCAGCCTCAGCTGCAGGTGCAGCAACCTATTCGGAAAGGCAAAACTGACACTAAGGAACTCAAGTAACTAGGGGGAATCATTCAGAGATTGAACTTTGTTACAGCTAAATGTAACAACAACAACAAACTTTATCCGGGTTAGCTAAATGAATCACATGGCTCCACTGTAATTATTAATGACCAAATCTTGAGATAAATCATTAACCAAAAAGTCCTGTTCAATAAAATATTAAAATAAAACCATTGCTCCTTACTCTTTTTTTTTTTTTTTGGGGGGGGGGGGGAATGGGAGAAAAGCAGAGCAGATACATGCAGGTCACATAAAATACAGAATAGCATTACCGCACATAGCAAGATGGTAAACAAGAGAGTACTATGGAGGTCTGGGTCGAGACTATTGAACAGAGCCTGGCCCAAACTATGGGCCCATTACCTCTCCTCATCTTAACCCAACCCTAGTCAGTCTGTGTTATTATATCCCTCCTATTATATGATCAAATAAAATCTCTTTAGCATCTTTTATTTTCAAGTCATTGTATCTTGAGGATTGGGTGGCATGATTATCGCTGACCAGTCTTCTTATACTGTAACCCTTTTTCGTCTCCAGAATGAATGAGATTCATCTAAGTTCCTTCAGAGGCTGATTTGCAAGTTGCAGGGTGTTGGATCTGAATGACAAGGTTATTCATGCTCTCTTAATGGAGAGACTTGAAGACTTGAGAAGAAGCGATTGGCAGGTGGTTATCTCTCATGGCCCACTAGAAGTGCTGAATTGAATGAAATAAAAAATAAAAAGAAAAAAAGGAATTGAAGATAAAAAGTAACTCTTGTACTTCAACTACTAAAAGGATGATATAAGACAGGGGAACTGCTCAGTAATGATTGCGAAGACATATTAAGCATTGCAAAATGCTAAAGGAAAGAATCAAATTCTTTTGCTTAAACAGTTGGAGCCCCAACAACTACAAGAAGGGTAACCAGGTTGCAAATTGGAATCATGCTCATCGTAAAACGGACAGGGATAAAAATTCTCTTTTCTATTGGTCTGATATGCTAGACTAAAGATGTTTCAAAACAACACTGGGAAGCTGGATGGGGATTAAGAAACCTGATTTTCCTCAACTTGATGAACATTGCCTTTTGTTTCTTCCTTTTTAGCCCGTTTTGCTCTGTCATTTGGTTTAGCCTGATATTTAGATCGAACATCAGGGGGCAAAAGTTCCAGCGGCACGACCCCTTCAATGCCATGGTCTGTAAACTGCAACCAAAATCAACCTAGTTCATTGAACCTAAAAAGTTTAGGCAGATTAAGACATTGGAGGTTAAGTAATTTATCTTACCCTAGAAAATCCCTCCAAGTCTTGTCGAGCTGAAAAACGAAGGCCTTTCCAACAATAAACCTGCATTTAAAATAACAAAAAAAATCCTTAACATGCTTAACAGTGCATGATAATTTAAGTAGACCATTTTAAATTCATAGTTAACAATTTTATCATATATAGCTATATCATCTACATAACTCCTTATGACAGCTAATATGATAAAATCATGACGGCAAACCCACATATGAAATAACGCAGCCACAAAAACATACCAAATGATATCACTGGGAAAAAAAAAAAAGGCATAACAAATGAGTTCTATGAAATTTCGAAGAGGCATTCCTATCTCAATAGATACAGAAATCTAGGCGTAAGAAGTTAACAACTAAACTAGTAAAATGATTTTTTTTTTTTTTTCTTAATTGGTGATTGATCCGAAGGGTTTTCAACGTAGTTGCTTTACTGCTGATCATATGAAGACTAATGTGATTTCAACATCGAGAGAAACTTCCTTTTTTGGGCCATTGGAGGCTAAATAATGGGCATGGCTTATCACCCTTCTGTAAACTTTATCCACCTGTTGTTCCAGATGAAATATGAACTTAGGATCTCCAAACCAAATCACTGAGGTACCCTAGCTCTAAGCCTGTCTGTAACTCACTATAGGCTTGAGAAACAAAGAGAAGATGTGTACGAACGAGAAATCTAGCAACAAGAAGGAGGAAAAGGATTGGGCACATCTGAGTCACTCATAAGCAATTAGTTCGTTGTGTACTTTGGTAGAGCGCCACATCTGAGTCACTCATGCACATTCAAGTATTGGGCACAACTATTCAGCTTGAAATGGCAGAAACATGTGTGCAACCTTTTACTGTTGTGTGGTGGTAGGCAGAGAGATGTGGGGGAGAGAGCGAGAAGAGGTCAGAGAGATAAGACAGAGGTATGAAAACTGAGATGCTCATTCAGATTAAGCATAAGTCACTGAGTTTTCACAAATCTGCTAATCATCCTTCCAGATATACCAGTCATGAACTAATTATCCTATCTATTAATTTATTTATAAATCACACATCAGTAAACAACCCTGCCCCTGCCCCTGCCCCCGCCCCCAACTAAAAAGAAAAAAAAGAAAGGGTGGGGGGGGAACCCTCCAAAGGACCCTTGACTTTTAAAGGTCTGCAATAACAAAGGAAGGGTGCCAGTGAAAAGCCTTCTCGTCCAACAGTATACTAGCCATTGTCACCTTCCAGCTTTCAGGATTCTCATCAAGCTGAAAATAACGTTCACACTTGAGAAACCAGCCAAGAATGACATGTTATTGGAATCTTGTTAATTCCATCTTGCTGAATAGGAGTTGCGCAAAATAGGAATTGTATGGTATTTGAAAAATAGAAGGGAGTTTTGCATATTTTGAACAAAACTCAAGGAAAATCTGAGTAATTTACAGGAAAAAAGAAAAAAAAAATCAGGACAAGCATGTCAAATCTAATACTGCTTAAAATAACTAATGCAGTTTTAATCAGGGACCAACCCGGTTATTCTTGTGGTGATATTCAGCTTCAATTCCTGCTGATGGATCCATCTGTAATTTTAAAATGCAAAGGATTCAAGATTGATGTTCAGGTGCAAAAGAAAGAAAAATATAATCCCAATATGAAGAGGAAAAATCATTATAACCAATTCCTTGACGTTAAAAGGAAGGGGAAAAGGTTGGAAGAGAAAACTCAATGCTCGCATTAAGACTCCATAAGGAGATGAGCAGCTTACATCTTCAGCCAAAGGCTTCCAGTAGTCCGTAATGGAAGGAGTTTGAACACGCTGAGGATCAGTTAAAGCATTCTGACAATTCATGAAATAATGTAAGTGATCGGTTGAATTGGCAGCAGTCTACCCATGCTATGACTAAAAGCAAGGAATTAATTCAAAGAAACAACTTTCTTGTCAATCGGTCAAAATAAATTTCAGTCCAAGTGTACAATATACACTTGTGGTTTTGAGATTCAACCTATGCATAGAGTGCAAAAGGCACATCAAAGGGAATTGACGCACCTGGAAAATGGGCCAGCTCGGTAATATTTTCATAAGGTGAAACAAAACAACAAAAGTATGAACTACTGAGAAAGGGGCAACCGCATGACATATGCCATGCGGTGCATTTTGAATAAAGCCATAAGTTACACCAACTCACACGATACTTCCATTTCTGTACTTTTCCTACTCATCTACTGATTGATATTGATGGCTTTGTGTACTGCAGTGTCTTCTATTCAAATTACAAATCCCACAATTTTGATAACTATGGATCTACATAAAATGTAGCAGGAGTCGGGATATAAGTACACACTTCATAACCAGCTATCAAGCCATACTTAGGGTGGAGATTCCACAAAGCTGGCCTCTACTAAAGAAGAAGAAAGAAATAAAGAAACGGAATGATTCACATACAGGATTTTGATCTGCCCACCTCCACAACTGAGAAAGTTCTTTGTTGCCCAATCTATATCTTGGCTTACTGAAATTCAAATAAAGAACAAATTTGTAAGCAGACTAAGCACATCATATCAAAAGCACTCTATATTTATCAGCCAGCACTCAAGCACTCAAAAAAAGAAAATCAAAATAACAAGGAAAAAATGATGACAATGACGTCAATGATGATATGCTTTGAATGTGAAAATCACGAACTCCAAAAGACTAAGCATCATCCAAGCATGGAAAGACTAACCAAAGTCATATACACATTGATAAGATCACTTTTGCTGCCCAAACATATAAAAGAAACCCTAGAAAGATACATGAAAAGGGTAACCTTCCTTGTGTGGGTCAAAGTGTTTCACGTCAAAGCTCCTACCAGTTTGGAGAAAGGAATAAAAGACTAGGCTTGCTGTTAGCCGTTACTTTAGGGGTATGCGGAGGACTGTGTTATGCACTTTTTGTAATATTAGAGACATCAGTGTCTCCAGGGAGGGTCATGGATCATTTTGTATTGAGAGTTTAACGAGGAGAGGACTAGCCTCTTTAAAGACAGGAACTTGTTGCTGCTTTGTGTGATCGAACCTTGCTGTATCGCTTCTCTTTTCATCACAAAGGAGCTTATATTGATTATTAATCCCAAGTTCAGTAGTAGCCTCTTCTAACAGTATGTTTAATATGTTGATTAGTGAATTTTAATGATTTACTTGCAAATCTACGAAGTTTGATTTGTTCTGAAATTTGACTTGTTCTATGAAGTTTGATTTGTGCATATTAAACCTTGCAAGAGGTTGACTTGTAAATTTAGAAGTTTAACTCGTCAATTAACGATGTTTGGCTTGTTTTAATTTCTTAAAAATTATTTTTTGACCGGTCAAAATCACGTAGTGACCCGTCAACAGCCAATGCAGGTCAACATAGTCAAAGGCAAGGGGCATATGTGACATTTTAGAAGAGAAATTAATTACAACCAAGTCCAAAGGTATTTGATAGTACTTTAGCAATTTGCGGGACTCATTTATAAAATAAGGCCCCTTATTTGGGACTTGTATGTGATTTTTCCTTCTCTTTTTCATCTCTTTGCTTTTTGGCTTCTGATTCAGCCGGTAGTCGTACCAGATGGAATCACTAGCGCATGATTCATGCCTGTCGCAGCCAGTCATGTACAATCAACCTCAATTATCATCACTGCATGGAGCTCTGCACAAGATCTCCAAGGTGATTGTTCAATTAAGTGTTTCTTTCTTTCTTTCTTTCTCTTCTTTTCTTTTCTTTTTTTTTTTTTTTTGGGGGAGGGGCAATGTTCAATTGAGTCTTTCACATTGCACTTTGGACCGGTTTTCCAACAACACCAAGTGGCAAGTATCGACTCTAATACCAAATGACATATGGTAAAATATCTATTGTATTTAGAATCATGCTTGAACCATGTCACACCTTCTACATCTATTCACCTCCCTACTTATACAAATGGGAGTGCGGGGCTCCGCTAAACAAAACACACCTAACTGGCTACTAATTCAATGTAACAATATATTTGCATTATGTATTTTTATTTTCTATTTTCTATTTATTTGAATTTATTGTATTTTATAATATAAAATACATGTGTACTTTTGTCAGAATAAGAGTAGGTTCCATGCATTTATTTAGCTGCAGCTATTCAAACTTATAAACAGTGTGGCTCCTCATAGTCTCTATAGTTTATATTGATAACATATGTTATTTTTCTTATCCTACTTGAAGTTCTAAAATACCTTCAATCATAAAGTTTTTATCACTTTACGATAAAAACTAACTTTTCAAATAATAAGCATACCGCTTTTTGGCCCCATCTTGTACTGCTTTCTTCTCCATTGGTTGTTTTTCATATGGTGGGCATCCATCACGTTTCCACCATACCTAAAACATAAACATCATATATTTCATTAAATAGTCAATATAAATATTTAACTACTCTAGGTCATAAATTGCAATGCAGTGTTTCTGCCATTCTGCAAAAGACACGGGGAGAAGGAGAATTACAAGCAAGCTTACCCAATTCTTTTCTCGTTCCAGTATGTGCTCAATTTTATGAAGAAATGCTCTCCCTTTGGGAGGCGTTAGTTCAAGAAGCTTTCTAACACGCTCCTCACATGATTTTATCTCTTCTTTCTGAAATAAATCAGGAAATATATTGCACCAAGTAAACAGCAAGTGCTACCAATTTCATTTAGTAAGGCTTGACAGTACACAAGGTGGCAAAGACAACAAAGGAACAAGTGGTGAACTAAAGAAATACAGTTTTGCTCCTCCGTCAGATAAACTGTACTAACCATGCTTTCAGATGGCAAATCTTTGTCACCTTTTCCAGGGGCCTAAAAGCAAGTAAAATAGAAATCAGAAACTAATAATATGGATTACATAGAGTAAGAGACTATAATTAGAACATTCTAGGCTTCACTTAATAGCTTAAGCATTAATGAAATGGCCCTTGAACTTCTACGGCTAAGTATTCAGGACTCAAGTTCGATACTTGCAGCCACTCATCTCCTAATTTCAAATTAAATTCCAGCACAAGATCTGTGCCAGTGGTTTGCCCACTCTTCAAGCGAAGAAAGGGCTTTATGTGAAGAGCAGTTAGAAGGCCTTCACTTAAGACTTGAGGAGAAAATTATGCTTGACACATAGTAAAAATATATTTAGACTGTGTAGTCTTCAGAAAATTATTACCTTCAAATAGTCAAACAATATGAGACATTGGACAAGAATATGGCGTCGAAAACTTGGGTCTTTTAACTATTTGGCACCACCACCAGGAAACATGGGGGAAAACATAACAGAGAGAAGATTTAGAATCATAGCAAAAACATCATCCGAAAGAATCAAAACATACATATTTTTCATGAAGCATTGACTCCGCATCAAATTTCATACCTCTAGACCCATTAGCTTACTGCTAGTGAGATATTTTATGCTAAAATTAGCTGACTCTTCCTCCAAATTATTAGCACCCCCTTCTTCATCACTTAAAGGTTGCGCTTCAAAAGTATTCAGCACAACCTTTATATCAGGAAAATATATAACGTCAGACATCAAAAACAGAGAGAATGTTATAAAGAGAGAGTCAATATAAAACAAACATTAAAAAAAATAAAAATAAAGGACTACCATCAAGCTAGATGTGAATTTCTGCCACTTTGTTGGAGCAAGACTTAAGGAAGCAGGGTTAGAAAAATATTCCTGCACACAAGAAATTAAAAAACACATAAAATAACTCCAACGATTTCTTCCTACAGCAAAAGGTTAAAGAATCTAAATCTATAAACTAGAAGACCCCTCACAAGAAATTATTCTACGCCAGGACACCAAAAGAACAATGCTTGTACCCACTCAATTAATGACTTGAACGTCAACTTCTAAATGTAAATCTAAGAACCATGGACACTAACACAAGACAGGACACGCAATCCGTACAATACTGCAGATGGGGAAGGAATAATGTAATGCCCCAAAGTTTGAGTTTCTTTTCATCCATGATCAGCTCATGTTAGGGCTACAAATAGGGTGAAAGAATTCATTATTAACAATATTACTAAGAAAACCTCCAATCAGTGTAAGAATGAATGATTTAGCTTAGTTGATCACAACAGTACAGCGCACTAGAGTCACTGCAAGTGAAATCAAAAGGACAAGGAAAACCAGAAAAGAAATCAGACACGCTTCCTCACACTAGCATTCAAGAGGCTAGCACTCTCCACTACCCATTCCTTGCCTTCTCCTCTGTCCCCACTATATTTGTCAGACTTCATTAAAATGTCCCCCCCCCACTCTCACTGCCAGCTCATCACCCCTTCCGTCTTTTTGTTTTCAAGCTTAATCAGACTGAGTTATTCAGACCCATCAACATCAACACTGAAATATTGGGAAAAGGGAAGTGCCATAAACACCTTTTACTGACTCAACTCACATAGGATGCTAAGCCAACAATTTTCATTCAGCAATTATAAGAGAAAACCAGATTTCACAATTTAGATTGCAATTCACGTAAGTTAAATACTGTTTGTGAGAAAACTATCCATTTGGGAGAGTAAAAGACACATCTTTCAAGACCCATATTTCAGGGAAATGGCCTACCTGTAAGCTCCAGAAAGTCTTATAAAAATTGAAATCTATAGATATACCTGGAATAAAGGGGAAGAGAAAAAACAGAAATAAGAAGCTGGAATCAAGTGAGCAATCTTTACTGAGTCACTGATGTTAAGAAGAAATCAGAAAACCCGAAACTAGGATTGTGTGTTGAGGATGCACCTTCAGGAGGTTCTTTCTCATATTTTGTTTCATTTGATGTGTTAAAAACTCCTTTAATATTTAAGGCTGCAAAAATTCATCGAGCAAATCAAATGACAGAGCACTCAGGAAAGTAAACAAAACCTCAACTGAAGATAGATTTACAGATATGTACCTGAACGCTCAGATAGTGGGAAGAAATGCGCCAGAAATGTGAGAATTCGTCCACAAAAGACCACATCATTTGCCTATCAACATCAAAATTAATAATTTCAAATTGAGCTTTCATGCAGAAATTTGCTCCGCAAAGCCTTGTATCATATTGGTTTTCACACAAATTTAAAAAAGTATCATAAAATAACCCAGTTTTTGGTTCAGAGTTTCTTAGGGGGAGGGGAATGGGCCACCTTGTTTGGTTGGGAAAATGGACTTTAGACTCAATTTTTCACTTGCTAATCATGTGGGTCGGTAATGTATAGTGGAGTGATTACAGGAATAACTGTATGGTAAACTTTGACAAAGACATTGAACTGGAAACTGGAAAATAGAGTTGAAAGACAGTAAATTAACTCTCTTGTTTTAAATCCTAAGCATGCTACGACCATTACTAGGATTATTCAATCTACCTTTGACAACCTGCGAAGAAGCTGATTGCAGGTCCTCAGCATCACAAGCTTTCCCCGAGCAAAAAGCTCTTGCTGTATGTGATGCAACCATAAAAAAATCCAAACAGATACAGGTCATAACATGGTAGCTATGAAACAAATGTTATAAAAGTAAAAGAGTTAGTCACAAACAAGAAAGAAACTATATAATATATAAGCAACACTCACCTTTCCTAAAATATCTTGTTTACTCTCAATATACCCAAAAATGTCTTTGCAGTTTTTCATTGTAGACATTTCTGTCAAGTCTTCCAGCAACTGAAAAATCATGCCACCTTCAACATGTTCTTTCTCACAAAGATATAGCACTATATCTGAAAATGACAGAGAAACATTGATGACAAAAAGATAGATTTTTACAATTAATACAAGAGTATGGCATTAAAATAAGTCGAACAAAATTGGAACAAGGAACGATTAATGCATGGAATTTTCAAAAGCTAAGCAAGCATGAACCATCAAGTTGAGTCATCCCGAAAAAAAACTGTAACAGATGTCTGATCATGTATTAAATGTGCTGCAAACTTTTAATTCTAGACCCCTTCCCTTCTTTCTATTCCAACCATCCCAACATCACGGAATGGACAAGACAGGGACCAAAAACTGTCCTTGCAATGAAGCTAATACTAATATTTGATAACGAATTACCATATAAGGTCACAACTCAAAACCTTGAAAGCTAGTAATCCTGTTTAGCACTCTAGTGAATGAAAATCCATCTCCCATTCAAGAAAACAATAATATAACCATTGCTAGATGCCTTTTAATTGGAAATGTTTATCAAGGTGAAGGACGCCAATTAGACAAGGCTTTGCCATGCGAAACATTTAATGCAAAGTTCCAAATAGTGATACATTAGAGAGATAAGCTACTTATAAACCACCAAAATAGCTCATAGAATAGAACGTGATTGCTAGATATTATAATAAAGACTATTTTGAGGCCTTCACTTGATAGCTTAAGCTTTTGCATTGAATCAGTCCTTGCCACGATATCACAGCCTTCATAACCATAAGGTCAAGAATTTTGATCCTTGACTCCCTCAATCAGCATAAATTTTGATAAGCCAGGGCTTTCCCACACACTACATGCCCAAAAGGCTTTCATGTGAGCAAGCCAGCATTTGACAAAGCAAGTCATGGGCCTTCACAAAAAAATTTAAACTTTTGACTTTAACTAGAGTCCTCAACAGTATTTTAATTTTCTGTCAACACTAGTTACTAGCAGAATCCATCATATATCCTTCAACATGCATGTAGTATATGTAAAACAATCTAGGATGCTTAGCCCTTGGCTTTTTTAGTTTTTTTTGGGATTTAGCATCTATTTATTTCAAATTTCTCCAGTTTATTTGCCAGTTTTCTCTCATATTTCTATTATTTATTTACATTTTTGGGATAAACTACATAGTTCAATTACAATTCACTCATTAGAGTTCTAATTAAAACAATTCTTAGAAATATACACTAAACCATTCAAAATTTAAAAAAAAAAAATTGCCCACAAACAGGGGGGTTGTCAAACATAAGACAGAATAGTTTGGAAAGTTGAATCATGTTCTAACCAAGAAGACGAGGAATGTGACCCTGAGGTGTCTCCCTTTCATCCATGGATTGTCCATACTGCATTATTTCCTCTCCTGACTGCACTGCAGACGACTGTAAAAAAGAGCAAATGAGCAATGCAGATCATAGACATAAATCAGATGATAAAGAATATTGGCAGAAGAAAAAGTAAACAAATAAATGGAAGAATGATATCTGCAACACAACTTGAGGTCCATGAATTTTTTTTTTGGGAAGAAGATAACCTTTTTTTGTTTATGCTTCACTTTAAAGTAGACAAAGTGTCGCAATGGCATAAAATATTCTGCATTGACACGCTATAAAGAACCATTTAACAATCTAAGACTACTTTAATACTTGAATAGAGAAAATAAAGACAATTCCTAGGAGGCAAGTCTAGGTGACTAATATCAAGTTGATCAAAGAATATGTCATCACTAGATAAGCCTCAGCAAAGCGAAGGATTATAAGTGACTACGTATGATATTACTGAAAAAGGAAATATAAATTGAAGGTCAATATACCCCCCCCAAAAAAAATAAAAATAAAAATAAAGTAGAATTAGATCAAGGGCAAACAACATATAGTTGAATGGACTTCATAGAAGGAATGATGTTTACAAGGTCCTTCAAATTTGACTAATTCCCATTTTGATTCATTCCATACTGAAATAATGATCGAATCTCTCACAGGAAAACCTCTACAGTTTCTTCAGACTTCAATTCATTTGAAGCATACGTGAAAAAAAGAGGGAATTTCCACAACGCTGGCAATGGTACTTATTATATATATTTGACATGACATACTAAAATTAGGATATCGCTCAAAAATAAACAATGAGGTATAATGCTGATTTGATTTTTTTTTTTAATGATAAAACAAATGGATATTATCAATTCAATCAGTACAAGAAACTACAAAGACTAATATATGAACAAAGGCAGTAGAAAGGCATACCACTAGCTCTTGGAGCAGCATCCGTAGAATATTTTCCAGGAATTGATTCTCATCTTGAGCCAATTTTGTTTGCCTCTGTCAAACAAAAGGAGTTTTAAACTTGTGCTGTAAACAACAAATAAATAATCACTATTTCATAAACTAATGAAGATATTTTTCTCTCAAGATTACCGTTTGTTCCACAAACTCACCCCCCCCCCCCCAAAAAAAAAAATTCTCTTACTTATGGCATATTAAATTATGTGATTTAATCTTTTTAAACACAACGCATGGCTACACACCTCAAAGATTCAAGTTACCAGAAGAAATCCATAACTAATTGTAGAAACTACAAAACAGCATCTTTCATAAAAAAGCCAGTTGAAATCACAAGTACATCGGGCGGGCATCTATAATCTAGTTAGTAAAATAATGCTATTTTCCATTAACAGAAGAGGAACTGGAAACTCGAAAGATTGGATGAGAAGAAATACCTGAGGCTTAATCACTTCCTGAACAGTCTGCAAAGCAAAACTTTCAGGTGGGCCAGGCTGCAGTATGGCCCTTTTAAAGACGTCCTGAAAGTAACAAAATGAGAAGGCATGATTGCACTATATTGAAAACAGAATAAATGATAGCAAGGTTCCCCACAAATTTGGCCCTGCGCAGTGCATATATTTAATTTGACCACAATGTATCACTCAATAGGCGAAATCGAATACACAGGCATTATTTTCTACCGAGAGAAATAGAAGAACAAGAAAGAAAAACTTACCATACTAGAGATTCAAAGTCAATTCTCTTCAGCAGAGAAGAACCAACGATATGCTCAAAAGCTTCTCACTTTCCAGGAGCAGAGCTCCCAAATTCTAATTCAGAGAGAAACAGAGAGAGGGCGGGAGCTATCAAAAGCAAATCAAATATGCTAAAAACCCAGGCCCAAAAATAAGAAAAAGCATCTAAGTTTTCTCAGCAAACCAAACCAAGCATACAACGATAAAATAGGGTTTCTCTTTGCCAACGAAAATCAGAAGTGGTGTTTCGGAGCTCTAGAGGCGAAAGCAACCAAATTGGAGAAAAAGAAGAAAGAAAGGCGAGAGCTTGAAGGGAATGGGAGATTAAGATAATATGGAAGCGATGTAATGATAGGATGAAGTGGACTTTCAAACAGGCGAGCAGGAAAATTGTTCACAACCTTGGGAGTCCCAGTCTCAGTCTCACTGCGGTGATTTGCGGTTGCAAGGAGGAAGAAGGCTGGTGCAAATGATGAAATAAAGACTACCCCGTTACTTTAATTTGTGATTATTTTCTCGAGATTAAAGATGTTTTTCCCTTAAACTATTTACTAGATAACAAGTAAATATAATGTTTTTCAGCTCCAAAAAAAATATCAGTTTTTAATATAAAGCTTATTTAACTAATTTTTTAATATAAAACCTATTTAATTAATTTAATTGGATTAAGAAAATTAGGTAAGTTAGTTAATTATAAGGAATATGACATTTTTTTCCTAAAACATCATAACCATTTTTCTTAATATCCTCTCTCCTTCTTCTACTTAATTACTGTTGAAGAGGCATCCGTAAGAGTAATTTAAAAAAAATTGATAAATATAAAAAATGGGTCATATATTTAAGATCAAAATTAATTCAATAATTAAGTTCTATATTAAAAATCAGAGGAGTGTATATATATATATATATATATATATAATGCAGCTGTTAATCTTATTAGAAAAACTGCAATACTCCTATTATTAAATATATAAATAACATTATCAACAAGTTATTGATTCGGCAAGCCATCTCATTCCACCCAAAAAAATGAACATGAGTTTGAATATTGAATTTTTTAACTTCTGTACATGATGAAAATACGAATAATAATTATTTTTACTCTAAATCTATCATTCATGCAAATCAAATTAAAATCTAGACGATAACCTGGTTTATTTTAAATTCCTTATCCTGTATGTACATAATTAAATTTATTTACGACTCCCCCCCCCCCCGCCTTCACAAGTGTCAATGATCAAATCCACACTACCAAGTGCCAAGGAGGCCATAAGACGATAGCGTTGGCTTTGGGTTATGAATTGCACGGTCCATGAGGCAGCCCGAGATAGAGTTGAAAAAACACGCTGAACCTGTCAGGTCGAGCCTGTTTAGACCCTGAAATTATGAGGATCGGACTTGATATTTTTCCTTTCAAATGGGAAATAAGCTTTGGAGGGCCGAGGGCTTCAAAAGACCAGCCCAAGAAGGTCGTGGACCAGCCCTTTTAAGTCTTTTTATATTTTTTTTGTTTTTTTAAATTTTTTTTATATAATTCTAATGTTATTAATTTTTTACATTATTAATAATATTTCAAATATTTAGTTATTATTATCATTTTAAAATTCAATTTAGTGTTAGACAATTTTATTAGTTAATTTTTTTTCCCTCTTAATGCATCTCTGTAAACATCAACCTATTGGGTCCTCAAAATAATTTTATCATTTTTTTTTCAAAGCAAGTGGGACGAACTCCATTGTCATTTTTTCTTTTTGTTACCCTGTATCACAATAATCACTCATCTCTATGGAAGGGTACCATTCTTCTCATTAATCTTATATGGAGGAAGAAAAATATTGCCTTACATGAGAAGTGTGTCTCAAATCCTCTCAATGCTGCATAAGAGATAAAGAATTTATTATCCTTCTCTAATTTAGTTTTTAGGGGGTGTTTGGATGGAAACCAAACTATAGTGTCAGAAGTGATTTTACGGTCTACGAGGTAAATATCTGAAGAGTTTATCTCGATTTGCAAAAAAAATGCTTCTAAGAAGCACTTTTCAAGATATCCAAATACCCCCTTAGTCACGATTAGATTAATTCACATTTGGCTTCTTGCAACTATGTGCTGCATCCGAACCTAGTCATTGATACTAATGGTTGGATCATACTGCTACATATAGCCAAGGGCAAGAAGTGTGTTCTTCTTTGTTATTCTTGGGTGTGTTTTCAAGATCAACCTCACTAATATTTTTGATGGACCTGAAGACAAAAAAAATGATCATCTATTCAATTGTAGGTATTTTCGTTCCACTCTTTCATGAATCATTAAATCCCTCTCATTTTCTCCTGAAGCCCTATCACTACAACTCTTGGTGTCACTTAAGCAATTTCCTCAAGTGTCTAATCAAAGGATAGGCATAGGAAATGCTGTCTTGGAAGATACTTTGGCCTTTGTCCCTTTATCTACTAGTTTCGATATAGTAGTGGTTATTTCTTCCTCATTTGAAACTGCTAATTTATTTTCTTTGTTTCTTTTGACATTTTCTTTACGATGTACTTTATCTTTGGGTTTTAGTGTTATTTGGCCTTTTTAGTTTTTATTTTTTTTTAAAAAAGTGCTTATATTCCCCTAATAAATGTGAGAAAGGTTAATACTCGAAGACATATAACCTTTTTTTTAAAGTTGTTATTATTTTTTTCCATGATAAAATCCAAATTTTCATGTAGGTGAAATTGAAATCTTCTTATCCTTTTCCCTTTTGCAAATGAAAGTTACCTCACCATTTTTGCATCTTTAAAACACATCAATGAAAGTTACCTCAACAATTTTGCATCTTTAAAACACATCAATGTTATCATTTACAAATTTGTTGAAGGGTCTTCTCGTTTAATTCTAATTAGTGGTACCCTGCAAAAGGATATTTATTCATTGTTTCAATTTTTTTTCCAGTGATTCTCTCTATAAAATTAATGTTTTATTAATTCTTCATTCCTCTAGGTTCTATTATACTAATATAATTTTCTCATTTTATATAATTCATCCTTTCCATTTAAATATTTGTGATATACTACCTTATGTCCTTAATATAAAAGTTAGTTGACTGATTTGAGTAGATTAAGGAAATTTGTTAACTTAGTTATTTGTAATAAATAGGTGTTATCTTTTCTAAAATATCCTTGCTAATCAAGTATATTGACTAGAACTAATTTTTTTTTTTTATATAATAAAAGACTCCTCGTCAACATTCTGCATGACCGCTTATAGTAATATTACGATCCGAATCCAGTATAGGAAGCAACTCAAGGGGAGCTATAGAAATAAAATGAAAACCACGCAGAGCATCCAGTCCTGCTTTTGCTAAATAATCCGCAGCTTTGTTGGCCTCTCCATTCACGTACTCAATTCTAACGCTCCAGCCCCTGTTAAGAAGAACCCTAACTTCTTTAAGAACATTGAAGTCAGGATGGCTCTCATCCAATTCCAAGTTAAGTAACTCAATGGCGTTTGTCGCATCAGATTCCAGAATTACTTGACGGTGGCCATCGGCCCACAGCTCTGCCGTCAGTGCATCCCCTTCATCAAGTCTATAAATGAAGCCCTGAAGAAATTCTCCATCTCGGTTTCGAATCAATCCTCCACAAGTAGTACTCGAGATAAATATGAAAGATAAAATATATCAGAATCTTATATTTAAAATCAAAATAAAAATCAAACAAGTTTTTATATTAAAGTCTGCAGGTAATAATTTACAACTTTTTATAATGATATCTATAATTCCAGTAACGTCATTAACAAAAATTAGTAAGCAAATAACCTTTTGGGATTTTTTCAATATTCGTGGCGTGAATGACAATTTTTTTAAAGGTACTTACAACTCCATTAACCACATTTATCACATATTTTTTAAGTTCCTAAATGGAGATTTTTTCAACACTTGTAATATGATTGCCAACTTCTATAAAAATATTCACAACTTTATTAACATCATTAATCACATTATATGGCAGAGTTTTAAATTAATATTATTAATTTAATACATATTTTAATTTAATTAAATAAATGCATATTAAGTATAGAATGTCGTCAATGGTGTTAATATAGTTGGGAATATCATTACAAGGGTCTTCAATCGCTACCTTTTCTAAGTTTAAAAAGAGAATCGGATGACCAATAATAATATAACTAACCGAACAGCCATCAGATGTGCGTGGAAGCAAGAGAAAAGAGAAATAAAATCTTGCTAATTGCCAACGCAAGAAGATTACAGCATAATTCACCCTAGAGCTTGGCCGATTTATGCTGAGAAAATAGCTACCCTCTTTGGTTACCCTATAGCATAATTCAACGAGGAGACAAATTGTGATGAGAAAGTAATGAAAACTTCATATCAATGACTGGAATGAATACATCAAAGGGATGTCATGGAACATGTCTTTTTCTCTAGAGTCGGTAACTACAAATGTTATTGTAAGGTACACATTTTCGACAGCACAAAACCTTGACCATTATCATGGTATAAAATAGCATACAACCGGTTCTCAGTCCTGACAATCCAAAATGCAGGAAGGAAAAAAAAAATGATGTTATTACCATTTATACAGGGCCGCACAAGAAAACGATGGTGATAATGCAGATTAATATGAGAACGTACTGCCACATGTTCCTCTAAGTACTAGCATTCAATCCAGTTTCAGCTTGACGATATCATGTGGTCTGGCCTGGTCTTGTACATGAAGACATTACATGCTAAACCATTGTTTATTGAACCACGTCCCTTTCCTAGGAAAACTCGTTGCAAGTGATCACATATAGCACTCATCTAATCGGCTTTTATGAAGCTGAAATGCCGGGTTAACCTAGGCTCCACAGCTGCATTGCATACCTGCCCACTTGAAGCATAAATATAACCAACGTTACTCCATTATTGTTTGTTCATATCAGCTGATGTACCGCTGCGAGTAATATAATCTCCTTTCAGTCTTGCTTTTGCCTAGCTCTGTGAATTCCATTAGCATCTTCAAGGATTCCCCAAGAAATCTTGCCCTTTCCACATGCATAAACGATGTCGTTCATAAACATCAAGATGAAAATATTGCTGTTTCGTAAATGATCTTCCCCTTCCAACCTCTCAACCTTTTTCTCTCTTTCGTAATGGAACAAAGCGGCAAAGCAGGTTACCAAATCTTCACTCTTCAAAAGATACAATTTTGGTTTGCAACCGCTACTTGCCCCAGTTTTCGTCTTCTGTTCCAGAAGTAAAATCAATATCCATGACAATGGTTACTGCTCTTATACCTCGAGTTCCTCAGCTGGGCCTGATATCTCGAGGTTGTTCAATCCAGCTTCGCATAGAATTGTTGATTCTAGTGCAGTTTCACAAAGCGCGTTGTTGCCATCACATTCATTTGATCCTGAATAAGATGGGAGAGAAACAGGCGTCTGAGGCGGATATTTAGATCTTTAAATATCTCATTTTAAGCCCGGTTTGAGGTCAAAGGAAATTGAAAATCATAACAAAATCCAATATATGGCTTACCATTAATTGTAGCACGCGTTTTCAGATCACACTAACTGGATAAAACAAGTCCACCGTAATTTTTTGGTCGAGAGCACCATGGATAAAACAAGTTTGAAAACCCTCTACAATCACTTACAAAAAGTGTTTTTATGCAAGCCATCATACTTACCTCGTATATAGTAAAATCACTTCTAAAAAGCTAATTTAAACACCCCTGTAAATCATATTATCTAACCTCTTGGTCTTCAAGATAAACAAAAGCCACATTCCTAGCTCCTGATGCAGCTATTCACTAATCTTTGGAACATATCCTTCTTGTTTCAGATCATCATAGAGCAAATAAAGAATGTCATAAATATCATTAGAATCTTGATGCAAACCATCACCTGCGAGAAACTCATGAAGTTGATTCTTGATCTCAATCCAGCTACAACCAGGAGTTTTAGAGATGCCCTTCTGTCTCATCAACATTCTCATCCTTGCAGAATCATCCCGCCTATTCGAATTTTCATATATTTTTGATGAAATAATATAGTTCCCAGAATTCTGAGGATCCAACTTCAGAAGCAGCTGCATAACCTGTTCGCCTATTTCTACATTTTTTAGCTTTCTGCAGGCACTAAGTACAGAACCCAATACAACCTTGTCTGGTTTTTCGGGCATTTTCTCGATGAGATCCCAGGCTTCATATAGATGGCCAGCACGTGCCAGAAGATCCACCATGCAAGAGTAGTGCTCAATTTTTGGAATCAATCCAAACAATGTGCTCATCATATCAAACAGTCTATAGCCTTCGTGGACAAGGCCTGCATGCACACATGCAGAAAGCAACCCAACAAATGTTATATCATTAGGCTGCACAGAGCCACCTTCTCCTGCCATGAGTTCAAACATTGACAGGGCTTCCTTGGCTTTACCATGAGAAGCAAGAGCAGATATCATTGCATTCCAAGAAGCCTCATTTTTTCTGGGCATTTCATTAAAAACTTTCAGTGCATCCTCTAAACTCCCACACTTAGCATACATATCAATCAATGCAGTGGCTACAAAAATATCATATTGCCATCCCTTTTGTGAAGCATATTCATCAATATTTTTCCCCAAATCCAAAGCCCCAATGGAGGCACACGCTGACAGCACCGCTGATAGCGTGATTTTATTTGGATCAATATGTTCCTCTCTCATGCCATGAAATAGCATAATCGCTTCATCTGCCATTCCACTTTGAGCATATCTGTCACAATCAATTAGCAGAAAAATTAGATAGAAAAATTGAGATAAAAATTCACGATATTAATAAGAATAAAATGTTATCTCCATTTAGTCCAAGATGCATATCCATACACCACTGTGTAAGCTGATGCTCATGCAATGATTTTGGTTTACTTGTTCAGACAATGTTGCCAAAGTACTAGCAAGTCATTTGATGAGAATAAATCACATGAAGTCTGATATGAAAATGTGAATGACCAAATTGTTTGTTAGAAATAAGATAGAAGTAGAGAATAATCAAACCCAACCAAATGATAGAACTAATTAATGAACAAGTTTAATGACAATACTTACCCTGTTATCATGGCATTCCATGTGATGATATCTTTCTTAGCCATACTGTCAAAGGTCCTTCTAGCAGATGCCAAATCACCACACTTTGCATACATACTAACTAAAGCAGAACCTATATAAGAGTTCACAGTCATTTTGTGTCTCACGACAAACTCTTCTACCAACCTCCCCAAATCTAAATTTCCTAGCTCTCCACAGGCGCCAAGAACGGAGACTAGAGTCATTTCATCAGGTTCAAACCCAGCATCCCTCAATTCCCCAAATAACTCCACTGCTTCCTTTGCATAACCCAGTTTTGAGTATCCTGAAATCAAGGAGTTCCATGAAACCAAATCTTTCTCACTAATTTCATCAAACACCTTTCGTGCATAACCCAGTTCATTACACCTGGCATACATGGTTATCAATGAATGACTTATGTAACTATCAATGTTTAACCCAAATTTAATCACAGATGATTGGGCGGCACGGCCGTGATTAATCTCCAACAGGTTAGCACAAGCAATGAAAAAAAACGGGAACGTGAAATTGTTGGGCTTTATGCCCAAGAACTTCATCTGGTAATAGAAGTGAAGAACAAGAGGGTACTCATGCCATGTGGTGGCTAACCCACGAATCATGACATTAAAGGCGTAGTCACTGGGTTCAGAGATTTGAGAGAAAAGAATAGAGGCGTAGGTGAAGTCTTTGAGGTCAATGCTTTTCGAAAGTAAATGGTTGGGTTTGTGAATTGAATTCACAATCATTTGGGCATGAATTTGTCGAAAGGGTTTAGTGAATGAACATTTTTTCAAAAGAGATAGCAGCTTTTCAGGAAGGAATTCTGAGTGACCTGGAAGTACAGGGGTGATTTCCAAACTGAGATGGCGGGAAAACAAGTGCGAGTGAGCTCTGGTTTTGAGCATTATCAATTGCCGAAGTTAAAATTGATCAGCAAGAGACAGAAACACGAAAGCTGATTGGGAAGCAATCAACTATACAGCCAGCATCACTTCCCAAAAAGAATATTTAGATATGTGAAACGAACCAGCAATATAGTTTTCCTAGACATTCAAGTTAACCTGTTACAGCGTTAGTCTTATTGAGATGAGGAGGAGGGACAATTGTGTTCTCTGAACCGGAAGCATAGTAAGTAGTTCCTAGTGCAACACATAGCTACAAGAATGAAGAAGCATCTCCACCATCCATTGATTGGTACTCTTTCGCCGCCGCTTCAACACTTTCTCTCCACTATTCCCGCCGTAGCCGAAAGCCCAATACCGAAGACGAATAGCCGGGACCCAGTAAAGCCCAATAATGTTACTTGAAAATACAAGTTATGTTTTTCTGTTTCGGCCTAATGGTACAAGTTCTGTTAGAAGCCGCCTTAAGAGCAAGAAAAGGTGCTTGCCATGCCCATATGAAATTAATGAGACTCTTCCCGACTTCGGGAAACAAGACCAATTAAGGCTCCAGAGCTTAAGCTCACGGGCTCAGACGGCCGGCAAACCATATAATTTCAAAGAAACAAAAATAAAACAATAAAACTTACTTAATTACAATTGAGGTTTTTTTTTTGGTCAAAAAACTGTTACCTTCATTAATCCAAAAACAGGGAATTAGCCAATTCCCTCTCTACAGTTAGACTTGTCCTGCTCAAGAAGAGAAAAAAGAGGGGATGGGGGACAAAGAACCCAGCCTAAAGGACGCATCCCCTTACAACCTGATTTGGCTAGCCAATCAGCTACCAAATTACAAGATCTAGGAACATAGGACAAATGTAAATTTGGGACAGAAGCAAATACATATTGCAGTTCCGCCACTAGCATTTCTACCTTCCAATCTGGACAAGAAGCATGACCTTTTACAGCTTGCACAAGAGGGAGACAATCAGACTCCACGATCAGCTGCCCAAGATCTCTATCCTTGCAGGAGAACACTGCTTTATGCAAGGCCTCGACTTCACTGTAAAAAGCAGAAGATGCAGTACTCTTTTGGCAGCACAGGTCAACTACTTCTCCTTGAGAGTCTCTCAGTACGAAACCCCAACCACTATGGCCTGTATCTGCAGAAAAGGAGCCATCCACATTAAGTTTAAGACAAAGGTTATTAGGTGGAGTCCAATTTCTATGCACTTGGTTCTGATGAGATGAGGAAGTGTCATCATTAAACCACTCTTTTGCACGCCATAGTTCATGAACCGCAGAAGAAGCAGAATTGAGAACCTAAGAACAATCAACTGGCTTATGCTCAAAGATTTCACAGCACCTAGCTTTCCAAAGATACCAACAAATATAAGCTAATAAAGCTTGTAAGTAGGGTTCATTTTTAAGTTCTAGCAAGACATTTAAAAGCCAATCTTCAAAGCGAGTAATGGTAAGGTCATCAATAAGCAAAGCAAGGGGAGAAGCAAACCAGACTTTCTTGACCCAGCTACATAACAGCAAACAATGCTCAATGGTTTCAACACTACAATTACAGTTCACACAAATGGGGGAAAAAGCACATTTTTTCTTTAAAAGGGCTTCCCTGGTCGGCAGAGCTTGAGAGCATGCCTTCCATAAGAAGTGTTTCAGTTTAGGCTGAATTTTTAAACCCCAAATGAGTCTCCATATTTCTGGTTTGGTTGAAGAAGAGCAGCTAGGAGTTGCTTTCTTTTTTCTACCTTTATGAGTTTGGAGCCATCTATAACCCTCTTTGACAGTATACTGGCCATTGGGACACAAAGTCCAGATTAGCTTATCTTGTAACTCCATTCTAGGCAAAGTAACACTTAAAATAGCCTCCTCAACATAACGTGGTAAGTTTAGGTTCTCAAGCTACCACTTCCCTTGCTTTCTGAGATTTCCTACCTTCCAATTCTTCCAGTCATCTGGCATACTTTCCATAACCAGTCGAAAATTAGCTATGGAAGGTATCCACGGATCCTGCCATGCCAGCACCCTATCTCCCTTACCAACTCTCCAATAAACATTGTCTTTAAAAAGGGCTCTACCTTCCAGTAAACTATTTCAAGCCCATGAAGCCCTTCCTCCTTTTTTAGCATCTAAAAAAGAGCAATTAGGATAATAAATTCCTTTAATCATATGAGCCCAAAAAGCCTAAGGTTCAGCCAAAAGTCGCCAACATTGTTTGCCAATTAAAGCCAAATTATAATTCTGGAAATCCTTGAATCCCAATCCCCCATCTTTCTTAGGTCTTGTTAGGGAATCCCATGCCTTCTAATGTATTTTCTTTTTGTTATCAGTTTCTCCCCACCAGAAATTGGAGATGACACTATCTAATTCTTGGCATGTTTTTTTAGGGTACAAGAAGCAAGCCATAGAATAAGTTGGCATAGCATTAGCAACTGCTTTAATTAGCACCTCCCTACCAGCTTGAGAAAGGAAATTTTTATTCCACCCCATAATTCTTTGTCTAATCTTGTCCCTAACAAAAGCTAAAGCTTCAACTTTAGATCTACCCCAAAGGATTGGAAGACCCAAGTAGCATCCAGGTGAGCTATCATTGGGAATGCCTAGGACTTCACTAACCATATTCTTAATGGCATCGGGGGAATTTTTGGAAGTGAAAACACAGGATTTATTCAGATTTATTCTTTGACCTGAAGCCATACAGTAGTCTTCAAGAATGCTCTTGAAAACTGTACAATTCTTTCTGCTAGCTTGGAGAAAAAAGATGGAGTTATCAGCAAAAAGGCAGTGTGAAAGGATAGGACATGTATTAGCCAGCTTAATCCCAATTAAGTCACCAAGAGCAATGTGTTCATTAACCATTTTAGACAGAACATCAGCTACAAGGATAAACAGGAAGGGAGAAAGGGGATCCCCTTGTCTCAAACCACAATTAGGTGCAATTTGATCAATAGTCTTACCTTCAACCTTTAAATTGAACTTCACAGAGGAAACATAGAGCATAATAGCATTTACCCACTTAGGATGGAAATTCATTCTATGAAGAATTGCTTTAAGGAAATCCCACTCTACCCTATCATAAGCCTTGTTCATGTCTAACTTGATGGCCACTTCAACATTCCTCCCTTGTTTATTTTTAAGATAATGAAAAGCTTCATGAGCCACAAAAATATTATCTTGGATCAAACGCCCCGGTACAAAGGCTCTTTGTTGCTCAGTTACAACCCTCCCCATGATAGGTCTCATTCTATTACTTAAAATCTTTGAAAAGACTTTATAGCTAAAGTTGCAGAGACTAATTGGGCAGAAATGTCCTACTGATTCTGGTGCATCAATTTTAGGGATCAAAATAAGATCAGTATTATTCACCATATTTAACTCAGTACCATTATCAAACCAAACACGCACCATCTCACAAATCTGAGGCCCCACAGTTTCCCAAGAGTGTTGATAAAACACCCCTGGAAAACCATCAGGACCTGGGGCTTTCAAACCTCCCAAGTCAAAAGCAGCTTTTTTAATTTCTTCATTGGAGATAGGGGTCAATAAGCAATTATTTTCAGTTTTCGTCACCACAGGGAGAACATAAGACAGCACAAAATCAAAGTTCCTATTACCACAGCCAGTAAACAAGTTTCTATAAAACATAGAAAAGCAAGTCTTAATTTTATCCAAATCATCAGTTCAGTTTCCATCATCCATTTTCAAATGCACAATTTTATTACGTCGTCTATGTTGGGTAACTGTGGCATGAAAAAATTTGGAGTTATCATCCCCCCAATTTAACCATTTAACTCTAGACCTTTGGAACCAGTATTTTTCCTCCCTAGTCCAAATTTCCTCTATTTGGGCAGCTATATTACTAGCTTTAGCAGCAGAATCAGCGTCCCATTTGCCCTCATAACAGATTTTAAAATCAACCATTAGCTTGGCTAGAAGTTTTTGATTGTTTGGAAAGGCCTTTTTGCTCCAATCACTTAGAACCTTTCTTACTCGATCAAGATTTGATTTAAACAGGTACATAACATCCAGCACAGAGTTAGAGGTATGCTCCCAATTTTTTTTAATCAGAGAGTCATAGTCACAGTGATCCAGCCAGTTTAATTCAAACCGAAAATTCCTGTCACTACCAAGCCCAAAGTAATGGGAAGAAATCAAAAGGGGAGAGTGATCAGAACCTAAAGGTTCCAGATTGCGTACCTGAACATTTGGACAAGCATCATGCCAAGGACCATTGCAAACTGCTTTGTCAATTCTTTCTCAGACATTGTTCTGCTCTAACCGGTTATTGGACCAAGTAAATTGCATGCCTTTGTATCCCAGATCCATTAAATTACAAGTGGTCACGAAAGACTGGAAGTCTTCAAAAGAATGCAGAGATCGTGTTCTACCCCCCTCTTTTTCAAAGTCATATAGAAGCTCATTAAAATCCCCAAAACAGATCCAAGGGGTATCCTGTCCAGGGTTTAACCCCTTCAGTCTCCTCTACCATGCACTACGTAACCTTTCCTTGGGTGGGCCATATACCAAAGTCATAAATCCTGTAACTGGATCTAAACCTGAATTAATTTTAATATGAATTAGATTTTTGTCAGCCATCAAGACTTCTAGCTGTACTGAATCTTTCCACCAAACAGCTAGTCCACCCCCAATGCCAGCAGGTTCCACATAAAACTTATTCTGAAATTGCAATCGCCTTCTCCATCGTTCAACTTTGACCATTTGAATTACAATTGAGGTTTAGTCAAGGGAGAATTAACGTGAGATCTAAAAAACGAAGATAATTATTAAAAAATCTTAATAAGAAGTGAGCAGTTGGATTTGAGTAGATTGAAAAAGGACATACAATCTTGGCAAATATAGTACTTTAGGTTCTTTAAATTTTGTATATGACGTAGCTATAGAAATCAATGCTGCTACTTATGTATCTCTTAGAAGTTGGTTAGCTGCCTCCTATTTTATTCTAGGATTTTTCTTTTTGGTAGGTCATTTACAGCACATAGGAAGAGCTCGCGCAGCTGCAACGTGATTTGAAAAAGGCACTGATAGGGATTTTGAACATGTTCTTTCCATGACTCCTCTTAATTGAGACATGAGATTAATGTTTGAAATAGGAATAATTTTTATTTCACTACAGATGTTGAGTTGA